TGGGTTACCTCACTCAGGATGGTTTCTTCTAGTGTCATCCATTTGCCTGTGAATCTCATGATTCCATTATTTTTTCTGCTGAATAGTACTCCATTGTGTAGATGTACCACATTTTCTCTATCCACTCTTCGGTTGAGGGACATCTAGGTTGCTTCTAAGTTCTGGCTCTTACAAATAAAGCTGCTATGAACATAGTGGAACAGACATCTTTGTTGTATGAATGGGCATCTTTTGGATATATGCCTAAGAGTGGAGTTGCTGGGTCTTTTGGTAGGTTTATTCCCATTTTTCTGAGGAATCTCCATACTGCTTTCCAAAGTGGCTGAACCAGTTGGCACTCCCACCAGCAATGGAGGAGTGTCCCCCTTTCACCACATCCTCTCCAGCATAAATTGTCATTGGTGTTTTTGATTTTAGCCATTCTGACAGGAGTGAGATGGTATCTAAGAGTTGTTTTGATTTGCATTTCCCGGATGGCTAAGGATGTTGAGCACTTTCTCAAGTGCCTCTCAGCCATTTTAGACTCCTCTATTGAAAACTCTCTATTTGGTTCTGCAGCCCAGTTTTTAATAGGGTCCTTTGGTGTTTTGGAGACTTGCTTCTTGAGTTCTTTGTAAATTTTGGAGATCAACCCTCTGGCAGATGTGGGATTAGTGAATATTTTTTCCCATTCTGTGGGCTGCCTATTTGTCATGCTGACTGTGTCCTTTGCCTTACAGAAGCTTCTCAGTTTCAGTAGGTCCCATTTATTAATTGTTGATCTCACTGTCTGTGCTACTGGTGTTATGTTCAGGAAGCTGTCTACTGTACCAATTCGTTCAAGGGTACCACCCACTTTCTCTTCTAAGAGGTTCAGTGTAGCTGGATTTATGTTGAGGTCTTTGATCCATTTGGACTTAAGTTTTGTGCATGGCGATAAACATGGATCGATCCGCATTCTTCTACATGACAGTCTAAAATTATGCCAGCACCATTTGTTGAAGATACTTTCAAACACTCTGTATTTGAAAGGAGAGTTGCAGAGTAATTGGTTAATTGACTAATTAATTCAACTATTAGTGAAACTTTGTTATGGCTAAGAGCTCTTTTGGACTATGATTGTTTCTGTGGCACCTGCAGGAAAGTGACTTCATTGAAAGCAACCAAATGCAGTGATCTGATGATCTGAAGTCCCTTCTGCTTTGAGTCCTTTGATGACCAAATCTTTTCTCTGACAAGTTCAATCATTTAGCAGGGTGATATGTGAGTCAGCAAAAGGAAGAAATTCCAGATTGATGTGGTGACCTCCCTTGCTGTTTTGTCTTTGCACCTGTTCTTTAGGAACCTGAATGGCTGAGGTGTGGTCATCCCCTGCTGGTCTGTGCTCCATATTCTACAGGATGATCTGTTATGGGAGATGCTTCTGATCCTGGGTAAGGCTGATCAATAGGATTCATCCAAGTCTAGAATGTGGATATCAGACTCTGCTGCACGGTCTTTATTCATTTCTATGACCTTTTCACAGTTAGATGATGTTATCTCAGTGGGTTTCTTCTCACAAGACTTGCTGGACAATTCTCATGCACAGCTTCACCTATTATGATCTAGAAATTTCACTTGGAACAGATGGGGAAAATATAACTGCATGTAAGAGTAAGCTTGGATTGCCTTCATCACACTTCTTAGAAACTGAATGTGTATAAAATATTATGTTCATACAATGACTGCAGGAAGAAGTACATAAAAAGCAATCTTCACACGTTAATTTCAGCTAACAGAGGACTGATAAGAGCAAAGCATTAGGGAATTTTCAGTTGATGTTTCCACAGCATGATTCAGGGTCCTAGTACCCAGCTCTTCTATAAAAAGGAACTTGTTCTCAGCCAAGATGATCCAGGACTGTGATTTGTATCCAGTGATACAAAACTCAGTTTTCTTTTCTGAACGTTTGTCTCTCACTCCAAACCAAACAAAATGGAAAGTTTTCAGCATCACAGTCCTCCAGCTTTTCATATGCTTTATTCTCTATATTCTATTTGTTGTGGGAATACTGTCTCTGGTCCCCTAGACAAATGTGAGAATGTTTTAGTCAAAGAGAGATTTTTTCACTGGGGATGGCTATGATCAAGAGAAAAAGTCTGAGCAGAGTCTTGTGTGCCCCATTCCAGTGAGGAAAGGAGTGACAGAGGGTGTTATTTGAGGCTTGAGATTTGGCTCAGGTTCCTTTCTGTTCTTTAATAGGTGTGCACACAATTTTTCATTTTAATAAAACCATCAAGAAATGTACAACATTTACTGTTTTTTTCATACAATTTATTTTATCATATCCCCCATCAAACTCTTGCCAGATATTCCCGATGCATATGCACTCATCTTTGTGCTCTGTGTGTGTCTCTCTGTCTCTCTGTTTCTCTATGTCTTTCTCTAACCCTCTCTCCCTACCTGCTGCTTCTGATGTATTCTTCCTTGTTAACAATGGATATTAATACACACTTACAAAATATCCTAAGGTTTTTCCCTGACTTACATGCATTCAAGGAAGTTCTACAAAGACTGAGGACTCTCTTATCACTAATTCCATGTAACATCTATCCCCAAATCAATGGGGATCCCTTCCCACAAACTTGGATGTAGCTGGAAAAACATGTATTAGTTAAGACCATTTAAGAAATCTGACATTAAATGAGACTCTCGTCAGTAGTTCTTAGATATCGCATGCTTACGTACAACTATGAATAAAAATATATGATGAAGTGCAAGTGAAATTGTGTATTAGAATAAAAGTAAAGGAGGAGGGGAAAAAGAGAGTAGAGATTTTGGGAGAAAAACTGTATGAAATACATGTGTATGAAATTTCTACAACTGTGTAGAGTTGTATTTTACATTTTGCATTTTATATTTTTAGAAATTTGATCCATGTACAAAATATGGTATGAGCATATGTATAACCATTATGCCCCACTGGTTCCTCTTGGGACTTTCCAGTAAGTCTCTGTCTGTCATTTTGTCCTCTATTGTTTCCTTAACTAAAAGCACAATGAACCCAATCAATTCTGTTTATATGCACATAGATGGAGTCTTTCAGTAATATACCAGAAACAAAACTGTTTCTTGAAAGAAAGTGAATCCATTAAGAGAAATCACCATTAAAGTCAAGAATCTCCATAGTACGATGAAGTTCTACACAGCTAAAATTCGAGTTGGTCCTTAACCTACAATGAAATGTTTTGGGAGTAATCTGATCACCCGGACAGTTGCAGTACATACAATCAGGATATCCCAACGCTTTGGAGGACACTCATTCTTTAAACACGAGTAAGGATCATGATGAAGCTGATCTCAGCTGAGTTCCAGAGCATGTGGAATAGATGGAGGGGCCCCACGCATCAGGATCTCATATGAAACATTGTCAGAACTCACGTGTGAAGGACAGTGCAGTGGTGTAGTTATGAGGATGTCTCATTTTTGCTCCATTAGATGTCCTAAGTGAGAATGAGGACAGTCTAGATTTAAGGTGCTTTCTTCTAAACTCTTTTCCCAAGTCATAAAAACCACATATTAGGCTAGGTATTACCAGTTTGACTAAATACCTTATGCTTTAGAAAAATATGCAAAGAAAAATGATACAGGAAATCCTAAATTCTGCAAAGGACATGTGTGATTATCCCAATTTTCTTCCTCTCTCTACTCCTGAGCTAAGGGTATCACAGAGCAGTGTATCACACTTTCAGGACCAGATCTCCTACATCAGAGCTACAAGGACTCAGCACTATGGCTGGAACTTCAAGGACTGAGATCCCAGGATACCATACAATATCCCAATTGAGAAAACCCCTCCCCCAGGGGACAGAAGTTACAGATAGAATTAGATGCTGCTGCAGATGGCTTTGATGATGATGTCAATTTGCAAAATTGTTGCCTTCTGATATGTACAGCCAATGGATGATTGTCTTTCCTATAATGTTCACATCTGATGAATAAAACATATATGTGCAATATTACTAAACAAAGAACTTTTACTATACTAAGTCTGAAGTCATCTCACAGTGGCTATACCAAGTGTATTGCATGATCTCGGCAGTTAGTTGAAGTCAGGACAGGAAACCTTAGTGTCTCAGAGGATCCCTCACTCACCAGATGTTTCTCTCACCTACTACATTTTCTTTCCTGGTGAAAGTTGGTTTTGCAGTGCCCTCTGCTGGTCTTGAGCATCCTCAAAATAAGGTTGTTTCTGAGCGCACAGGGAATCTGCTCAATATTCTTGCTACAGTGTAATGCAAGGCTTTAGGGAGAACTGGTCATTGAATGTGTCCATTAACACACTGAAGGACTTCTCAGTGACAGCTTTATGCTTTCTGCTGAGAACTGACCTTGATGAGAGAGTTTGGGTTAAAAGGAGATCTCAGAATTCTATTGGAAAAGAACAACAATTAGTTGCTTGTTGCAATTAGTTAAACTTGAAGAAAAAGAGAAATTTATTGTCGGACAAAAAGTCCACATCATCTCCGGGATTGGGGTACAAACAATATAGACTGAGCCATGTCAGATGTGAAATTTTTGTAACTTTATTCACTGAGCCTTAATTGCTTGTGGACTCCTGTCTGAATCCCAAAGATTAAACATAGAATCCTAGTGATGGGCTGTCTCTCATCAGAATGAAATCAACAGGTACAATCAACATTATTCCTGAGTGTCTAACCCTGGTGACAATGGCAGGTTTAATTCTGCATTCTATTGGTTTGTCTCTTATGGGAATAATCTTATTTATAGCCCATTCATAGCTACTCCAGAATCATTTCCAGACCCTTCTATGTAAGAGCTGTAAACATCATCATGCATTGCTGCAGTATGCCCTATATTTGCTCTTTTAAAAAAGAATAATATTCATGGATAATGTCATTGTTAAACAGCTGATAAGGTATGGTGAGGTCTAAGGGCAGCGGAAATCATCCTAACTTATTCTCTTCAGTACTTTTGAAACGTTGACAAAACCCTCTAAGTCTGGGAAGTGACAAAGGGACACTCAGTGTGATGATTTATGGGCAAATCTCCAGGCTGATCCTCTCTGTCCTCTCAGTCCAAGGGCTGTTTCCTCCTCCTGCAGGGTTTCTGACACACTCAGGATGTGGTTGCAACACTGTGTCTCTTGCACAGTAATAGATGGCAGAGTCATCAGATGTCAGGCTGTTGAGCTCCATGTAGGCTGTGCTGGAGGATTTGTCTGCAGTGAGTGTGGCCTTGCCCTGGAACTTCTGATTGTAGTTAGTACCGTCATTATTAGGATTAATCAATCCAATCCACTCCAGGCCCTGTCCAGGCTTCTGCTTCACCCAGTGCATATAATAGTCAGTGAAGGTGTATCCTGAAGTCTTGCAGGACAGCTTCACTGAGGCTCCAGGCTTCACCAGCTCAGACTCGGATTGCAGCAGCTGGACCTGTGTGTGGACACCTGTGGAGTGAAGGCAAAGTGGATGTCACTGTCACCTGAGTGCATGGCCCCTCCTCAAGTCTGGAACTTGGATTCCCTTACCTGTAGCTGCTGTCACCAGGAAGAGGATGATCCAGCTCCATCCCATGGTGAGGATCTGTGTGCACAGTGACTGTGGAGAGGACACTGATCATATGCTGTTATTGTTGTAGACATGCCTGTATTTACCACCATAGACTCACACGCTTTACATATTCATGAGCAGGGAGCCCCTTAGATAAGGACCTAGTCCAGCTGAAGCAGAAGATGGCAGACACCTGTGTCAGGCAGCAGGATGCTGAAATCCCTTGCTAGTCCTCTCTGTGAATATATATAGACTCCTTCTTCCCAGGGACCTCAGATGATGCTGAGGAAGTAACATCATGACCTAAGGTCTCAAAGGATTTCAGGCCTGAGACAGTGGTTCCACCTGGGACAAGGTTATCAGAATGATTTACTGAGAGAGGCTGTGATGATGATGACGGTGATGGGAAATTTAAAACCTACTGAGTATTAAATTTACAGCCTCCTTTCATATATATGCTATGACTATGTGCCTGTCCACCAGATTGTATATTGAAAAACTCTCCCAAATGAACAAAAGCAAATATACTCCAGAAATCATGTAAACATCTTGATTACTGAAGCAATATCACAATAATAAAATTATGGAAATAAACTATGTATCATCAACAGATGATCTCATCAAGAAGAAATGTTTACATAAACAACACAACAGAAGTTATACATATTCAAGGAAAATGAAACTTACATCATTTAGGATGGAACTAGAGATAAATGCATTAATTAAGGTGATCTTAGAAATCAAATGTTAAATGAGACTCATATCAGTAGTTTTTAGATATCGCATGATAACAGCTATGAATAAAAATACAAGATGATGTGTAAGTGAGTTGTCTAGTAGAATAAAGGTAAAGTAGGAGGGGAGAGAAAATGAAGAGAAGAGATTATGGGAGAAATAACACAGAGTAAAAAATACATCAGTATGTAAATTCTAAAACTATGTAAAATTGATATTTTTACATTACATATTTTATATTTTTAAAATTTAATCCATGTATAAGACATAGTATGATAATATCTATACCCAGTGTGCCCCACTGTTTCCTCTTGGGACTTTCCTATAATTCTCTGTCCCTCTTCATGTCCTCTCTTGTTTCATTTACTAATAACACATTGGTTCAATCATTTCTATCCAAAAACACATAGGAGGAGTCCTTCACTAGTATACCAGAAAGAAACTGGTTCTAGAAAGAAAGCGAATCATTTATGAGAAATCACCATTAATCTCATGAGTCTCCATAGTAAGAGGAAATTCTACATAGGACAGGTGCAGTACATACACCTGGGACGTCACACCAGACTGGAGGACTTTAAACACAATAATTCACCATAATGAAACAGATCCTAGCTGAGTTCCAGGCAGCTGTGAACAGATGGAGGCGGCCTGTGCATCAGGATGTCATATGAACCATTGTCAGAACGCATGTTTGAGGAACAGCTGTGTGATATAGGAGTGAGGATGTCTCGTTGTCTCTACTTTCTGGTCCTGAGTGGGAACAGGGACTATCTAGATTTAATGTACGCTCTTCTGATATTTTTTCCCAAGTCTCGGCGATCATATAAGAGACTTGGCATTATCAATTTGACATAAAACCATTCCTTTTAGAAAAAAAATTTCACAGAAAAATATGAGACATGAAATGCTAAATGCAGTGAAGGACAGACTGTGTGATTACCCCAGCTTCTCCCTCTCTCCTTCCCCTGACCAGTGTGTGTGTCACACCTTGGGACCAGTTCTCCAACAGCAGAGCTACATGGGCTCAACACTGGTGCTGAAACATCTAGGACTGAGATCCCAGGTCACAGTCATATACTGCAGTTGAGAAAAAAAAACCTCCTGACAGTGGAAAGTTGTTACAGATAGACTTACAGATGCTGATGCTGATGGCTGTGATTAAGATGACTGGATGTCTGACAACTTATGTTTGAAAAGGTTTGACCATCTTATATGTATGTACAATGGATGCTTGTCCTTCCAATAAAGTTCCCCTGTAAACACTAGAACTTGCATGTGTAATATTATTTAACAAAGAATTTTTGCTGAATTCACACTCAGAGTCTAGTCACAGTAGCAGCATCACATGTACTGGGTGGTCTGGGCAGTTATTTGAGGTCAGGACAGGAAACCTTAGGGTCTCAGAGGACTCCCTCAGTCGCCAGATGTTTCTTACAGTTAGTACAATTGCTTTCCTGGTGAAAGATGAGTCTACAGCTCCCCCTGCTGGTCCTGAGCATTCTCAGATTGAGGATGCTTCTGAGCACACAGGGAACATGCTCACTGTGTCTGCTGCAGTGGAATGCAGGGCTGTGTCTTCCGTGGTAGCAGAGCTAAATTCGACTTCAGGGAGAACTGGTCCTTGAATGCATCCACTGACACACTGAGGGAATTCTCAGTGACAGCTGCACACTATATCCTCTTTTCTCTCGGGGTAGGCTCTTTCCTGAGGGTGCACAGCCAGGAGGACTTAGCTCCCAACAGCCAGAAGTTATCACCACCCAGCCGAGGAGAAAATGAACTATCTGGAATTTTTTTGCATTTATTGTGATTTTTGTCCTATAATGTGATAGATTTTGAGAAGGTTCCGTATGAGAAAAGGGTATACTCCCTATGTGTTAGTTGGAATATGTCCATTGAGTCCAGTTCTTCCTTAGAACATTTTAGCTCTGAATTTTCTGTACCTGTTTTTAGTTTGGAAGACCTATCTAAATTTGAGAGTAGTGTATTTAAGTCCCAAATTACGATTGTGTCGGGACCTATGCGATGTGGACTTTTGTCATTTGGTGTTTGTCTTATAAAATTTGGGATCCAAAGCTGTGCATAAAGATTTATAATTGCTATATCTCCTGGATGGATTCTTTCCAGTGCTAATAGGTAGTACCCCTTTTAATCACATCCATTTTAGTCAAATGTTTACAGAAGTATGCTTGTGTTTCTGGTTTCTTGGCAGTTTGCTTTTAATTCTTTTATAATGAAATTTTAGGTATGCCTACTAAGTGTGTTTAACTGTGTTTTTTGAACTCAGAGTATAGGTGGTTCCTTTTTCTTTTTTTATCTCATCAATTTGTTGTATCTTTTTTGGTGACATTTGTGGCCATTAACATTGAAGGTCAGTATAGGATGAGGTTTTCTGTTTCCTATAATTTGATGGGTGGTGCCCTGTTTTCCTGGAATATTGGTTATGTCTTTTCTTGTTACCACAGTAGTCTTGAGGGTTTGATGAGTTGCTGTGTGGAGGAGCATTGTTGTCTCTTCTCCGCATCTAGTTTGTTTATGTGCAGTCAGGTTACCTTTCTTCTTTGTTCCTGTAAACTATTCCCCCTAAGTACGTCCTGCAGTACTGACTTAGTAGTCATGCGTGGCCTTGTTTGTGTCTTAAAATTAATTTCTCCGTCAGTATTGGAAGCTACCTATCACATGGGAATCAAGATTCAGTAGACTCAGTACAGGTGAAGTGAAGCTTGTTCGGGGAGAACACACTCACACAAGAAACAAATTACTGCCGCGGTTTCCCAATCCAGTGATGATGACCCTGTCACCCACATGTTCTCCAGGACCTGATCAGAAAGGGAGAGAGCTCCTAGCCCCAAAGCTAATCCTTATAACCAGTCAAGTCCGCACCCGTGACCATTCCCAAAGGGCCATGGTCAGTGATACAGGTGTGGAGGAGGATATCGCCACAGATACCTTAGCAGGTTATACAATTCTTAGCTCAGAGTTTTTTGCTTTCAGAGCTTGAAAAATTGTATTCCATACCCTTCTGGCCTTCATGGTTGCTGATGAAAATTCTGGGGTATTCTGATATTTCTGCCTTTGTGGGTTGTTTTCTTTTTTTATGCTTCATTTGGTATTGTTTAGTATTGTTTCTTTACTTTGTATATATTTCACCCTGGTTGTAATATGCCATGGTTATGTCTGTTTGGAGTTCGACATACCTTTTGTATTTGGAAGCCTACGTCTTTGTGTAAATTTGAGAAGTGTTCTGCTACAATCTCTCTATATTAGTCAGTCTTTTTCATTCATGTATTCCTCTGCTCCTTCTCTGAACCGGGATTTTTTAGGTTGGCTTCCTGGATGTATCTTAGACTTCTTGGAAATACCACTCATGCTACTGTAGTTACATCTGGCCTTGCCAGTGAACTTGTAGTGGTGGTCACATCCTTTGGGCATGGTTTCAGGTGCAGACACAACCACTACATGCTACTTAGTTTTTTCTTTGTAAATGTTTATATTATTTATTCAACTTCATCATATATCAATGAAATTCGTTCTTCTGCATGGTTTTGAATGTTAAAGATGATCTCTGGTGTGGTTTCTATTTGGTTGACCATCTCCTTCATTTCAAGCATTTTTGTATAATAATTTTTCAGTGTTTTAGTCTCCTTGCTACTCTTCCTCCATATTTTGAGCTTTGCCCTCAAATTTATTTAATTTTTTACTAAATTCATTAACAAATCTATTAAATGTTTCACTCACTTTGGAGATCATCCTGTCAAGGCCCAGGACAGATTTCTGTAATTCTTGTGCCTGTTAATTAATTGTGTGGTTGTTAGTTCTTTTGAATAGTAAGACTCCGAATTCTTTCTGAGATATTTCAGCCATTTCTGAAATTTTGAATTCCCTCATGAGGGAACTGGCTGCTTGGTGATGGGTCTTGGGTTATGGTTGCTTATGATACTTTGTCGTGTTTTACACCTATGTTTAATTGAGTATGTTTATTTCACTTCCTTCAGAGCTTATTGTGAAGTTCAGCCGCAAGGCCTGGAGAAGAGGGTGCTGATTATCAAAGGATTGCTGCAGTGATCTCATCTTGGCTATGTGTCAAAATAAGTAAGGGTGGAGCTGTGCACTAAGCATCAAAGTAACTAGACAAAGTCAAATCTGGTGATCCCTGGACTCTATGAACCTGCTGGAGTCGAGATACCAAACTTCATACCCATTGAAGTCGATCTACTATCAGAAATCTGTGAAAAGTAAACACCAGGGTCTGCAGTGACATTTAGCTCTTCAGTCATCAGAACTCCCCACCAGCATTGACCTCAGATAACGCTGGAACCAAAGCTCCACTCTCTCGGTGGATCCTGAGCACACTGGAGCCAAAGTTTGGGCCCTGACCTGAACTCATAAGATGTTCGCTAGAAAC